AGCGTAGCGAGGCCAGGGCGAGCCAACGGGACATTGGGGGGACTGGCGCCTGAGGCCCCTCAACTTCGTCTGCTGAAGAGTCAGGCCCGGATTCCGTGCGGGAACGGCACCCATACCCCAGAGGCAGCTGCTGCCCATCCGGCTGAGCCTAAGGATTTCAGCGATTAGTCGCACAATAAATGTCATGTTTGTTGTTTTTTTTAAACCAAAAAACGGTAAACATGCATATATTGAGATGCTACTGAGTATTTTTTAAAACGTTTTTTCCCATATATTTTATTGATTTTTTTCAGAGAGGAAGGGAGAGAGATAGAGAGTTAGAAACATTGATGAGAGAGAAACATCAACCAGCCGCCTCCTGCACACTCCCCACTGGGGATGTACCCACAACCAAGGTACATGCCCTTGACCGGAATCGAACCTGGGACCCTTCAGTCCACAGGCCGACGCTCATTCCACTGAGCCAAACCGGTTAGGGCCTGAGTATTTTTGATTGATGGGGTTTAAGATCACGATGTGTGGCACATGGGTCATTCCTACCCCTCCCCTGCGACCCTCCTGCTTGTCTTGGAAATGCCAAGTGGCCCTGCTCTGAGCTCCCTCTCCCCGTGGGACGTGTCCTGGCAGCGGGCCTCCCAGTGCCGTGCCCACCGCAGGCAGTGCCCGGCCTTCCCTGGTCTCCTGTCTTGTGCTTGGCCAGCTCTCCCCTCTCTCTGGACCACCTGCCTCCTCACTCAGCACAGGTGGCACCTCACCCTGACCTCCTCCCTCCTCTACAGGTGAGTATGAGAAGAAGGGGCTGATTATCATCGATGAAGAGGAGTTCCTGCTGATCCTGAAGCTCAAAGACCTCAAGAAGCAGTACCGTGCGGAGTACCAGGACCTGCGTGACCTGAGGGCTGAGATCCAGTACTGCCAGCACCTGGTGGACCAGTGTCGCCACCGCCTGCTCACAGGTGTGCGGTCTGGGAAGGGTGGCGGCCGTCGGAGTTCCGGGACCCGCAGACCTGGGTTCTAGAAGCAGCTTCTAAGCTTCTCTCTGGCCCAGCTGGTGTGACTCAGTGGTTGAGCAGGGACCCATGAACTAGGAGGTCACGGTTGGATTCCCAGTCGGAGCACATGCCTGGGTTGTGAGCTCGATCCCCAGTAGGGAGCGTGCAGGAGGCAGCCGATCCGTGATTCTCTCTCTCTCTCCCTTCCTCTCTGAAATCAATAACATATATATATTTAAAATAAATAAAAGCAAACCATGGATCTTAGAAAAGAGAAGCTTCTCTCTGGCAAAGGCAGGGGTAGGGCAGGGGCCTTCAGATGTTTGTTTATAGGATTTGGGGGCAGGAGACAGAGATGGGCGAGGGAGACCGTGGAGCAGGAAGTGGCAGGGTGAACCTCTGATGAGCACACAGCCTTTGCCTGCAGCCTCAGGGGCTCCCCCTCAGTGCTGGCCCCCTCCTCCTCGCAGAATTTGAAATCTGGTACAATGAGTCCTTCTTCATCCCCGAGGACATGCAGGCGGCCCTGAAGCCGGGCAGCAGCATCCGGCCAGGCATGGTGCCTGTCAGCAGGATTGTGTCTCTGGTGAGTGGCCCCCGTCGGGGGTGGGTGAGGGGAGTGGGCAGTGGGCAGTGCCTCTGGTGCTTTGCCCTTTTCTCCCGACAAACGTGGCACGTGTGGGCCGCTCCCAGCCGCTCCCACGGCTGCCCAGGCAGGTGGGAAGCCACAGGTCTCTACCCAGTGACCGAGGGTGGGCACACAGATGATACCGCTTGCTGCCCAGGGGGCAGTTACAGGGCATCTGTGGTGACGCTGGCAGACAGGGCCTGAGCGTGTGAGCTGCCGCAGGGGGGGATTTGCCAGCCCAGCCAGGGGCTGCCCTCATGCCCACCACGGGCCCTGGCAGGGCGCGTCCTGCCCCTGCCAGGCTGGAGGACGACCTTGAGCTGGGCCCCCAGGGAGAAGACGACCAGGACAAGTTCAGCCAGCTGCAGCAGGACGTGCTGCCCGAGGGCCCGGAGTCCATCTCCTTCTACAACGCCAAGGTCAAGAGAGAACAGAAGGTAACTCGGCTCATGGCTCCGGGGGGCGGGGCCTGGGACCCCGTCACTAGCACCCCCCACCCAGGATCACACTCCCCACTGCAGAGGCCGGGAGGAGCATCCAGCTCGGGGAGCCAGTCACCCAGAGGCAGCAGGTGTCTCCGCCGGCTCGAGTCCCAGGGCTGCCCAGTGAAGTCCCACAGGCTGTGGCCAGGCCTGGACACGGCTGTGAGCACTGACCCTCCTTGAATCACCCCTCTGCCTGGTGCATCCGTGCTGGATGCGCTCCCCACGCTCCCCACCCGTTAGTCACCGAGTGGCCATCTCCACCATCAGACAGACGGTCGTGGTGCCGCAGTGCGGGTGCCCGTCACCCTCTTACGTGGTGATGGCCCCCGAGAGTAAGAGGAGCCTCTAAGTCCAGGACGCACCTTAGTGTGTGTGCGTGCGCACGTGCGTGCATGTATGTGTGCATGTGTATGTGTGCGTGTGTGCATGTATGTGTGTATGTGTTGTGCATCTGGTGCATCCGTGCTGGATGCGCTCCCCACGCTCCCCACCCGTTAGTCACCGAGTGGCCATCTCCACCATCAGACAGACGGTCGTGGTGCCGCAGTGCGGGTGCCCGTCACCCTCTTACGTGGTGATGGCCCCCGAGAGTAAGAGGAGCCTCTAAGTCCAGGACGCACCTTAGTGTGTGTGCGTGTATGTGTGTGCGCGCGTGCATGTATGTGCGTGTATGTGTGCGTGTGTGCATGTATGTGTGTGTATGTGTTGTGCATGTATGTGTGTGCGTGTATGTGTGTGTGCGTGTGTGTGCGTGTATGTGTGCGTGCGTACGTCCTTGCTGCCAGGAGGAATGACGGGGGATGCAGGTGGGTGGCTTCTGAGCCCTAACCAATCCCTCCTTCCCTTCTCCGCGTCCAGCACAGCTACTTGAAATCCACGCTGGGCCTCCCGAAGGCACAGAGGAAGTAGGGGCTCCTCGCAGCGCCCTGCCTGCTCCAGGGGAGCTGCCCACCACCCCCCGGTCCGGCCAGTCTGCTCCAGGCTGGCCCAGCCCAGAGGACACGCAGCGGCCGGCCTGCCAGGCGGGACATCCCCCAGAGGGGGCTCATCTTCACAGGACGCTTCTGGTTTCGATTCACTGTCTCACATGCAGGGACCAGATAAAACGGCTTATCCTCTGGAGCGTGTGCTTATTTCCTGTTGGGAGGCTGTCTTGCCTGTACAGGTGGGGTCCGAGCGGAGTCTTCAGTGAGAACAAGAGCGAGTAGCTGAGCCGGGCTCCGTGGCAGCCTCTCCGTTCCTGCAGGGACACCCGGGGATCGCGGTGGCCAAAGGCCCTGCTCTCAGCCCCCTCCGAGCCGGGCACCCTCTCTGCAGCCAAGCCATGAAGGCAGAGGCCCTCCCCACTCAGCAACCAGAGAGGACGGGCAGGTAGAAACGGCTGCAAGGAACGTTCCATCTCCAAACAAGAGCCTGAGCGGGAGCAGCCCTGCCATGAAGTCAGCAGCAGAGCCCGCGGGGAGGCTGGCGGGGAGGCTGCGGAACCTGCACCAGGGGACGGCTGAGCTGGAGGCAGCTGTCCCACCCAAGACCCCAGGGTTCTGTTGGAGCCATCGAGGAAGGCTCCACCCTGGGAGAGGAGAGCGAGAGTTCCCACCGGCCTGGAGAAATAGCCAGGAAACTCCCCAGAGACGAGGGGCACAGATCCTGTGAGAATTTGTAACCACGCACAGGTTTGGGATTCAAATTTACACTGTGCGGCCCAGGAACCACCAGGCTGAGGAATTAGTATAAAAGTTAGCCCAAGGCTGAAACAGCGAATAGAACAAGAAAAAACTGCCGTACGGGCCCTTTTCCCAGCAATACAGCATCCCCACAAGCCTAGTAAACATGAGCTCCCAAGAGTAAAGGCGCGCACACACGCAGGCACACATATATGTGCATGTGCACACACATGTACAGAAACAACCTCTCATGGAGGCATAATGTCAGCAGGATCAGACTTAGAAGAACTTCAGATAACAAGTTACTGGTGCCCCGGCCAGTGTGGCTCAGTTGGTTGAACGTTGTTCCGTGCATCAAGGGATCACCGGTTTGACTTCCAGTCGTGGCACATGCCTGGTTGTGGGCTTCATCCCCAGTGGGGGGCACGTGGGAGGCAGCTGACCCATGTTTCTCCCTCTCCCTCCCTCTCCAACGATTAAGGTCGGACAGAGGTCTGGGCGGCGCTCCTGTCTCCAGTCTTTACTCTGAAGGGCTGACTGCTCTGTTGCTGTGTCCTCTGCCCCTGCCTGGAGGCTCCAATCCACTTGCCCGTTGCCCGCGGAGCCCAGAAACTCTCATCTCAACTTGACCGTCTGCGGCAACAGGACACGGGGGGCGGGGGGGGGGCACAGGTGCAGGCGAGACTTCCTTACATCAGGACCGTGTCACACTGCGTGGGACCTGGACGAGCGGCCCAATTCCCTGCCTTCCTTTCCCCTGTGGACGCAGTGTCACTCCTGGGCGCCGTGGAATGAAGTGATGTACGCCAGTGTACACCAGGGTCTCAGCCAGCTGAGGCTGCGTGACAGTGACGGTAACTCTGATAAAGGTGTCAGTGTGCCCCACATTATATGATAGATGGGGAGCAGACAGACATACTGACACACACCCAACCACGGTGGATTCTGGATGTGAAAAGGCAGCACTCAGACTGGCATTACCTTTCTCCAACCCATCCTGACTGATGGCTTCTTAACACATTCCGTGCCGCTCAGGAGTTTTCTCGCGTTTCGCGCGCCATCTGCTAAGGACCGCTCACGAGTGTTCTCGTTTTTCACGCCCACGGAAAAAGGAGCGGATCTAGATACTTACGTAAATTTTGTTTGGTCCCTCTTCATAGAGGAAAATGTTTTACGCAGTACCATACATTAAAAAAGTACTTGGAACTTTGTTTTTGTAAATAAAAAATGTTGTAATGATTGAAAAACAACACCTAAAGTGCATTATGATGATTTAAATAACGTGCAGTTTGCCCAAAAACGTGCGGTCCCTGGCGTATGTCTTAGAGATTTCTCTGCGGTACGCAATGTGTTAAGACCAATCTCAGATTTGACAGAAGTAGCTGCTAAAAAGATACCCAGGGCCACCCGGGCAGTGTCACTGGAGGTCAAGTTCTTTCTTTTTTTTTGGTATAGCAAAGATGGAGATTTATTGAAGAACAAGTACAGACTCCCACGTAGGGAGGGGGAAAGGGTCCCACTCTGGGGGTCAAGGGTCTTGGTTAAGAAAGTACTTGCCCTTCATGTTGGGGCTGGAGGCAGTGTTTTTAGTGGACAAACGCCCAGGGGAGTGGGACTGGTGTCACAGTAGGCTCTGAAAACTCTGTCAGGTAAGGGGTAATCGGAAAGTAGGGACATTCCATCTGAGAAGATCCAAACAGGGCACATTTTCTGTCATTTTGGGAGGAAAACAGGACAGGAGTTGTCTGCCCTGGAATGGATGGCCTTGCTGCAAACTGGGCTCCCGACCCTGGCGGAGGAGAGCATTGCCTGGGCGGCCCGGGCCCCGGCCCCGGCGAGAGAAACCCGGAGGAAGGTCACGGAGGCCCCTGGCTCCTCCCAAATCTAAATCCCTGGCTCCATAACCACTTGTGGAGAAGCTGTCTAACATATCAGTTGAAAATTACATCCTATACACAGATTTTCACACTGTTTTCTCCATCAAATAGGAAATTGCCTTTATTAATAAAAATATCACTTAATTTAGAAAGAATATTTTTATTAAGAAAAGCAACCTGTCTATGAGAAAATGACGTTTCTACCAGCTTCGATTCCCAACAACAGGGAGAGGCACCCATTTGCAGAAATGTATCCCCAAAGGCCACCAGGAAAAAGGGGGGTCTCGCATGAGGGAAGGGCTCCCCTCAAGAACCAGCCGCGATTTGTGATTCAGTAACTACTAGCAAACGGCTTGTCGGAAACGGATTTCGAACCCTGTTACAGGCCCCTGGATGGAGAATCTGCTCTGTCCGGAAAAAAGCTGCCAAAGGCATTTGGAAGGTGAAGCTGAGCGTGCGGAGTAGACGACACTGTTCTTAGGTTTGGGGAGGGCGGCCAGGCTGGAAGGAACCCCTGCTGTAAGGCTGTGCCCTGCCTCTGCCTGTGGAAGGGGAGGGGCTGAAGGAGGGACCCTGAGGCTCCCAGAGGCTGAGAGCAGAGCGAACATGACTGTGTGTGTGGCCGGAGACGTGAACGAGGAAGATAGGATGGGAGAGCGCCATACGAGGCCACGTGCCACCACGCAGTCTGTGACCTGGTGCCCTCACCGCTCTGAGGCTCGATCTCTCATCTGTGCAACGGGGGCAGCAGCTGCTGTTGCCTCGCCCGTGTGAACTGCTGACGATCACGTCTATGAAAACGGCCGTTTCCGAGGCCTCCTGCAAACACCTGTGGCCATCCCGGTCCCTCAGGAAGTCATCCGAGGCAAGCATCTCCTCTTTGGGTTAGAGCCACAGAAACGAGAGTTTTGACAGCGAGTCAAGCATTAAAAAGTTCCAATGCTTCTATTTCTTTACATCTTCTCATCTAAATTAGTTACCATCGGTTTAACATTCGCAAAGATGCACGATCAGCTCCTGTTACAGCGTGTGGCTCCCTCCGGTGCGACTGAACAGCTCCCGGAGCAGAAGATGGAAAAGCCCCTTGGTGGCCGGCAGCCCCGGGATCCGGGGCCTGTGATTCTAGGTCAGTTCTCCCTGCACCTCCCCCACACACAGTAGGCCAAGAACTCAAGGGCAAAGGGGACAGATTATTACCCCGAACCTTATAGGATCAGGCTTTGAATAAACTGAAAAAAGAAAGAAAAATCCAATAAAGAAAAAGGGGGGGGAGTGCGTGTTTGAGTTCTGACACAGCTGTTCCCGTCCTGGCGGAACATTGGTCACCTGGGTGCTTCTATGCGATTCCGGTGCCGAGGGCACGCCCTGGGCCAATTACATCAGAGCCTCGATCCGCGGAACAGTATTCCCTGAAGCCCCAAGTGAGTCTAGTGAGCAGAGTGAGTTGTGGTAGAAAAAAACCTGGACATTTGTTTTTTGTCTTTGGTATGTTTTTGTTTACCTGATTAATATGGTGATAAATTGTTGATTAATCTTAATTAGCAACGATTTAATACCACATACTATCCTGGCAATAAGCAAAGAAGCTTCTCTACTGATTAACTTTCCATTCACAAACTTCCATGGTTTTTAATAACCTTTCTAATAAAGAGGGAATATGCTAATTACCCTCACGCCATCGCAAAGATGGTGGCGCCCACAGCCAATAAGAGGGAATATGCTAAATGACTGTCCCGCCCTCAAAGATGGCGGCACCCAGTCCTCTCAGCACC